TGGGACCTTACCTGATCCTTGCACGGGCTGGCCACCCGGGACCCGGGCGGCCCGACTGGTAGCCTAGTGTATCTCTTCATTTCCTTTTTTTTTTATTTTTTGTGTGCGTCTTCAATTCGTTTGTCACAAATATTTTCGTGTGGTTCTCTGGCGGGACGTCAAACATGGGTGTTCAAATTGTTGATGCAAGCTGCTTAACGTTAGTTGACGACGAAACACAAAAACAGAGAGAGATGAACATGGATTGTGTGCATGCATAGGAGGCAATCATCTTTAAATCATTCCACAGAAGAGACGAGAACAGCGGACACATCACATAAAAAAAAGGGTGCGCTAAAAGCGCTATGAACTTCTCGCGCAGCGAACTGCGATTATAAAAACAGAATACAGGACGACATTCTTTGATCTCGTCGTCGACTCCAACGAGCGACACACTAAACACCTGCACTAAACGCAACATACACCATTGAAATCAATCGACCCGTCTTCGTGGCACAGCCGACGCGCTAATCATGTGCGCAACCGACGATGATTCTGTCGAATCCCTCACCGACACACTAAATAGGTGCGCACTTTGCGATGGTGCAACCACAGCGAAGCCCATCACGACCAGCCACATGTACATGCGCCCGCGTCCACACAAGCAGCAACCCCCCCCCCCCCCCCCTACGCGTCATCTTTCCCGTTGTTGTTGTTCTCATCATGGGGGGGGCCCGAACCCAACCAATCTAGCTTCTTCGCATCCTCCGGCCCCGTTATGCTCGCGTCGTGCCTGAAACCAATGCCGCAGGGTGCCCATTGAGGGATGTAGTCGGAGTACTTTCCGAACGTAGCGTTCGCCTTCCTGAGCCTCTCTGTGACGACTTTCGCGGCGCGGACGACGGGTCGTCGATGATCGAAGGAGCGATGCATGGACGCGACGAGTGTGGGCTTCGCCACGAGGTTCACGAAGTAGAAAGCCTCGTAGTGGCTGCGCGGATCGTCCCCCGCCATGCGCATTATCCACATGCACGCCGCCAACAACAGCCTGAAGCAGTCAGTCACCCGACAAAGACGATCGTGCAAGATTAACTCCCCGTCGATCAGCGCCCCCATTTGCACTGCCGCGCGGAATGCATGCGGGACGCAGACGACGGTGGACTCCTGGTGCGCCGCCATGTCGTCGTCGTCCGGTCTGTCCTCGATGTTGGCGCCGGCGAACCACAGTGGCAAGTCCATGGACAGATCTATCGTGTGCGCGCAAACCGCCAGACTAACGACGTCGCACCACTCCTCACCGTACCACATAGCACGCGCAATGTCTGTAGCAAAGGATTCCAGCGAGTACTGGAAAGCCACATGGTATCCCCTTGGGCGGTTCCCGAACTTGAATACCCAGCCGTGCAAGATGCGCAGAGCAACGTTCTCCACTGCCGCCGCACGGGAGATCGCTTGCTGCAGCTGTGATTGGTCGGCGATCCTGCCTACGCGCGTAATGGATTTGGGCAGTACGACACTCCGAGGGACGGCAAGCGGTGGAAGTCTGTTGGCGATGGCGACGAAGTACTCTCTCGTATCGTGGACGATGTTGTACAGTCTTCGCCCCTCCCCCGTCGTCCAGAAAGCTTTGTCATCGACCCAAAGGACGGCACGATCGATGAGGTCTTTTGCCATCACTTCCCTACGTACCCGGCTTGAACCGGGCTCGCCGCCCTCCCGATCGCCTTTCTTCTCGCCATGCGCCTCCTCTCTCGTCGTCGCCACGACTGCTGCCTCCTCTCTCGCCGTCGCAACGGGGTCCACAGTGCCTGAACCACCCGCCCCCGCAGCACCTGCCGCTTCGGCCGCAACTGCGCGCGCGTCTGCCACGACTTCCCCCCCGCCGCCGCGTTGGACAGACCCTCCGTCACCACCCTCGTTGCGCTGACGTGGCTGAGACGGCGTGGCGGGCAGCCTACCCGAGACTGGCCTTTCGTTTACAGCAGTGCGTGCCGTCACCGCCGGCGGTGGGGTCGTCGTTGTACGAGTGCGCATGCGACGTCTATCCAAGGGCTCGTCATCCTCGCCGCAAAGATCGACGATGACAGCCTTCTCTGTCCGCGTATCGCGGGCACGCAGGTGCTGCGCCTCGGGTGGAGGGGTCAGCATCCTCTTCGAAGCGCTCCGATCAGTAGAGTGTTGCCGACCGCTCTCCCGTACTGCAGACGTGGTCGCCTCTGCCTGTTCCTCCTCCGTCGTGAACTCTTCGTCGTAGTCCCCTTCCGCTGCTGCCGCCCAACCTTGCGCTCCACGACGAGGCACCCTTGCTAACGCATCTTCCGAACGCACCCTCTTCGCGTTCGGGGCATGCCGCCGACCTCTTCCCTGCCCTTGGCTGTCGCCAGGGACTATGTCGCGCTTCTTCCCACGGGTGTTCCCTCGCGTAGACATGCTTCGTGGTGACCTCTGCAGGCGAGCTTGGTGGTGTGATCGGATGAGCGGGAAGTGCTTCGCCGACCTTCGTTTGAAGTGTCGTCGATCTGGCGAGAAATACGTCTCCCGTGCTGCTGTGGCGTGACGACGACGGGTACCCCCGCGACGCAGAAGATCTGTCCTCCGCGGGAAGAAGACCACGACGAGCACGTGGTGGACAGAAGGACGACAACCCCAGCGACAGTACTCCGCGGCGAAAAGACTGGCGGCGAGAAGAATAGAAGAGCGACGTTCGCAGTGATCCGCGGCGAGATGATTGACGCACGACGTCGGCGTGGCAGACAGAAGGACGACGACTCCACCGAAGATCGTCCACGAGACGAGATGGCAAAAATGGCGTCGGCAGTGGTCGTCCAAGGAACTGAAGATGTCCGCGCGGAGCGGGGGACATTTATCAGCGGCGAGCAGGCTTGTGCCACTTCCACGTCGTTGCGGTCGGTGTGCAGCAGGCGCGGCGGGCTTCTGTACTGGAGACACCTTCGTGTGGACAACATACATGCGGGTTGGGATGTGCAGGACTTAAGTAGTCTCTCGCAGATGGACCTCCCGCGACGTCGCTTCTCTGTGGCGGGAAACGACATCGTCGACGGTGGCACGTGCGACCGCTCTGCCCACCCTGGCGTGTCATTTCGATCCTCCCCAAGGCGCGAAAAGACCCTTTGACATCCCTAGCGACGCGCATCAATGGACTCGCCAGGGACCGAACCCCTGGCCACCCCATCGCGTCTCCCCGTCGCAGCCACCAGACACCCCTGCACCCCCCCCCCCCAAGACCCCCTCCACAATCTCGAAACCTCAAACCCCCTTCCACACGTGGCTGTCTGGTTGACGAGCCACGCAATAGGCAGACGATGCACTGTCGTGGGAAATGATGAGCAAAACAAACAAACAAACAAACAAACAAACAAACAAACAAACAAACAAACAAACAAACAAACAATACCCATACAACTGTGTGGACGACACCCGCACACACTCACTATCACACACACACACACACACACACACAACGTGCGCCCTACATTGCCGACCGACCACGGATGGGGGCAGCGATCTCCATAAGCGCGTGGCACATCATCCTCTACGTCTCATCGGACGCCACGTAGTGCGCTTTCTGGACTGCAACTTCCTGCTCGAGTATGCCGCATTGCCTCGTGAATATGTTGCATTGTCACTTGCTAGACGATTCGATCGTCGACGACATCAGTTCGCCATGGCGGTCCATGACATCAGCAATCGACTCCAAAGCCTGTTGACGCGCATTCTTCCGCTTCCCACCTCCAGCCCCGCTGGCTGCGTTGTTGTCGGAGTCCCTCGTAGAAGAACGTTCTTCAGGGAAGCCTTCACCAGCGGCCTCACTACCAACAGACTCCCCAACACCCGCTCCTCGCCTGGGCAGCTGCACCCCGTCCGGACTTCCAGTGTCGGCGACGTTGGGAGGGAAAATTGTGTGGTTGCCCATCATGCCCGCGTGGATCTCGTTGTACAACACCCTCTCCATCCGGAACTTGAAGTTGTGCTCCTTCCTTTCTTCATTCGATAGCCCGAAGAAATCTGGTCGGCCACTCGCATTTTGAAACCTCTGTATCTTCTTGTAGTTTTGGAAGAGATTGTCCCACTTCTTCATGAAGTCGTCCGCGTCTTTAGGCTTCCCCGCGTTCGCCATGCGCTTCGCAATGTCGTCCCACTTCCACTCCTTGGTCCGCATCCGCCCGTAATTGTGACCCAACCCGACGAGGTGCATCTCTTGCTCCCGCTTGCATCTCACCAGTTGCATTTGCTCTTTCGGAGACCAGTACGTCGCAGACTTCTCGCCGTCGTCACTGACGCGACCTCTGCCCCCACGGCTAACGGATTGGCCACGAACAGCACGTCTGCTGCGTCCTCTTCCCCTCCCACCCGTTTTCCCCAAAGGCCGAATAGGAATGTCGTCATCGTCGTCCCCTGCTTCCACGTCCTCCCTAAATCGTTCGTCGTCATCATCACCGCCACCACCATCGTCGTCGCCGCCATCGCTGTGTGCCCGCATATTTGACACTCCTCGTGTGATGTTCTCTACAGTGGGTGCTGGACGCACCGCTGGTCTGCACGCGCCGTCGTCCCTGAGGTCGGGTTGGGTCGGCGTTGTGCGTTTGGGCATCGAAGGACGTGCACTGCCGATGCGCAGGGACCCGGTTGCGACTCCATTGCGTGCGGGGCAGGTACTTGTCAATCGATCGGCGGACGGTGCACTCGATCCATGGTGCCGGCCTACTGCCGATGGCTCGACACCGCCAGTAACGGACACACCGCCACGAAGTGTGGAGTGCTCCGTATGCTGACTTCCAGATTGTTGAACGCCACGTGGCGAAGGATCGGCGTCGACGATGAACGTGCGGCTCACCTTCCTAGCGCCGCTAGAACACAACCTGAGCCTGAGATCAAGTCCCCCATCGTCGTCGTCTCCCAAGCCTTGGTGCAACAGTGAGGTGAACTCGCCGCCTTTGTTGCTAGCCGACCCACATGCTCGCATTGTCTGCGACAACAGCTGCGTCGACCCGCTGGCAAGAGGCAACGTTGGAAGTTCTTCCGTCTCTGGGTCCTCGTTGGACCGGGGTAGTGGCATCTCCCACAACTTTAGATGGTTGTACAAAGATGGGTCGTACCGTCGTGGAGGCTCCGCAGTCGGAGGTCGTCTTCCGCCTTGACCTGCACCAACACCTTCGCGTGCCTGCATGCTCGCCATCGGACGTTCCCCTGCCACCTGTTTCGTTGGAGCCCTCCTCTTGCGATGTTGTTTCCACAGCCGCCACGACAAACACACGTGGAGGAAAACGACGATGAGGAACACGACGACAGCGAGTACGAGCAGAGACAATCTCCTCTACACGTCAGCCATGAAATTCACCTTGGGAGCCACCCTCGCACGCGACTAATGTCCGACATGTCGGGGGATAGGGCCGCTCGACCTTCATATGCCGAAAACCAGCACAGAAGATGACAAAGATTCCTGCCTGCAATTCGAAAATCGACCGTTGCCGACCGCGCACCACCCCAAACGTCTCCGTATGGTGTCCTGCGCACGTCGTCGTCCTCCTCCGTCACCCGCAACCGAACCAACGGTCCACTACGGACACCAGCCCGCCCACGGTCCCCCACCCCCCAGCGCTGCACCCCGTCGGCCAACGGCTACCGCTGGTGGTCGTTGCCGGCTTCGACCCGCAGAAAACCTCCGATGCCCGGCCACCCACCCGACGGACCGCTCCTGGACCAGCAACCCCGTGGCGACGGTGCCATGCGCGCGACGCAACGAGTCCGTGAAACGCGGGAATCCTAAATTTTTCAGTAGGTCGGGGGCTACTGGAAAATTTAGGACGATTTTGCCTGGGGAATCCTAAATTCTTTAGGACTAGTACTAACGCCGTTTTCACATTTTCGATATCGAAATTGGATTTAGGATTGCGTGCAACGAAGACGCAATCCTAAAAACAGGAACTTTTAGGAGTGTCTAACGAGACCCTATGTGCGGAATGTGTTTGCTGGGTTTTTTTTTTTTTTTTTTTTTTTTTTTTTATACCGGGGTCATTACCTGGCTCTGCCTAAGAAACACAACTGTGTTATCTAGACAAGAACACTAAGATTCTCTATCCCCCAAAGCTCGGATCAAAGGAGCATTCGGAATGAAAAAAACACCTGCCTTACGGCCTTTCAGCAGCCCAGCAGCCCAACCCTACCTGCCTCACCCCTATATCCCGATGCCCAATCTCTACCAGGCATCATGCCCCCAACTGTTAGGTTACAGAGTGGCATGACCCACCCCCGAAAACCCCCACCTGCTAGGCCACAGGGCAAAGCAACCCGCCCCGGCTCCTGCCAGCATCGACTAGGCACCAGCTCACCAAAAGACACTAGAGTGCCTTCCACCCTCGACAACTCCCCAGATCTCTCTACCATGTCTCATGCCCTCGTACAGCTTGAGTTACAGGGCAGCGCAACCAAGCTCCAGCACCGACCAGCGTCGTTCTGGCCTCTTCTATTCGCAAACCACTAGAACTCAGGGCTAAGGTAAATACCAGTCAAGCCACCAATCAGCACCATAGCTTTAGATCCCATCATTCATCTCCTTCTTTTTTTGAGAATTATTAACGGAGTTCGGGGAAATTTAAGGTTACTCGAGAAGCAATTACTAAGTCAAAAAGAAAACCACAGAAGTCCTTTGAATACTAAGAACCTCTGGAATCCCTAACAAAACCCTATAAAATTCTCTAACATTGTCTTATTCCCTGTCGAGCTCTCCCAGGCCTCATGCCCCCAACCTGCTAGGTTACAGGGCAACACGACTCACCCCGACTCCGGCCAGCGTCGTTCCGACAGCAACCCTTGGTTTCCCCTTGGAATGCCCACCCCAAGGCATCCCCAGATCTCTCTACCAGGCCTCACGCTCCTGCTATCAACAGGTTACAAGGCAACTCTCCAGCACCGGCCACCGTCGTTCTGGCATCGGAAAACCACAAATCCATGAATATAACAACATTGAAGAAGCCTAAAGTGAATTGCAAGAAGTACCCACAATCCTAAAGCATTTTCAAGACCACCAAGAACAACCGAGAACAAAAAAAATGTTAGTGAAAATTACGACCCGATGGAAGGCAGCCAAAGACAAGTTGGACCAAATGCATACCTGGGGGGATATGAACAGGATCATCTCCTATTTTAGCAAGGACCGAATGGGGGGGGAAAGGAAGGGATGGGTGGCTGAGGTAAAATGGACCGGGGATTGTCGGCCTGAAAGAGAACCACGGGAGGAACCCCGGATGGAGATGGTAAGAGACTACCAGCTGATTTTTCACGACTGGACTAAGATAGATCCCGCCAGCCCAATACGTGCTGCACAGGATTTCGCAGATCCCTTTCCCCCCCACCCGCTGTCCTTGGAAGAAAGATTACCGCCTTCATGACCCCAGGGGCCTGAGGGTAGGATCTAGTGGGATACAGCCTGTCGCAGATCAGTCTATTTTCAGCTAGTTTCAGGCTATCTCAGGCCTCCTTTCTGCTTAGCTCCTTTGCCTATCTTTGGTTTCTGCTGATTTGGAGGGCAGGGGCTTGGGGATGGAGGGAGACTTCGCGGGTGCCCCCCAGTGTTTCTCCCCTAATTACCTGATCCTGCTGCAGGATAGTTTTGGAAGAGTTTGGAAGAGTAGACTGGATATGGGACGTTGGACCCGGTTTCCAACACAATGGCGTCACTTCAAAAGATGACTGTTTATAAAGTAGTATTTAAGGGACGCTGGACCCGGTTTCCAGCAGGTGATGCTCCCCACCAATAGATGGAGCAGACTCTCAAAAAAGTTTAGAATGTTAGTTGATTTCAGCTGATTTCAGTGCAGCTCATTTCAGCCTTTTGTCTGCTGTTTCAGCTTTTTCCAAACACACGCTATTGCAGAGTGCAAAGACACAATAGGCGCCATGAGGATAGTAGGTGGATGGCAGAGGTTAGGGGAGGGAGGGAGACTCCACTGGTGCCCCCCGGGGTTTCTCCCCCCAATACCCGACCCTGCTGCAGGTTAGGTATGGAAGAGTAGATTGGATATGGGACGCTGGACCCGGCTTCCAGCACAATGGCGTCACTTTCAAAGATGTACTGTTTTGTAAAGATGTATTTAAGGGACGCTGGACCCGGTTTCCAGCAGGTGTTGCTCCCCACCAATAGATGGAGCGGCCCGCCAGGCAAAGCCTCAATCCTGGTGGTTCTCTTACCACCACCAAGATAGAGGCCTTGCACAAGGGCTTTCGGGGAAAAAAAAAATCACGTTACCCCAGTGTTATTCAACCGACCATCCTACAGCTGCCTCAACCCACCTATCCTCAATACAAAGTTCTACTACGCCTCACGCCCCCAGCCGCTGGGTTACAGAGTGGTGCAACCCACCCCAACTTCGACCCGCATCGTCTTAGTAGCTGCTCGCGGTTAGCCACTGGATTGCCTTCCACCCTCGACAATTGCCCAAATCTCTCTACCAGGCCTCAAACCCCCACATAACTCAGGTTACAGGGCAGCGCAACCAAACCCCAGCTCCGACCAGCGCCGTTCTGGGATCAACCAACCTTCAACTCGTGGATATGATGGTGAAAACCCGCCGTAGGACGATCCTCTCAATCCAGCACCACAACCAAGGTTTCGAAATATTTGGCTCCCCTCGTGCAGTGGTCGTGCTTGACATACCCAGATCATCTAAACCTTCCCTCTAATCTCCACTCTGACAAGACTTATCACGGTAGAGCCACCATCTCCATCGCTGCTATGCCCTATTTTCGTCCTACCAACTAGCCCCCTGGCAAGCAGGATGCGTCATATCCTTCCAACTACTAACCCCACTTAGCCACAAGACACTCACCCCTACCTATGCGACCCCAACATGAACGGGTAAACAGGAGAGAAAAAAAAAACACCATCCGAATCCAAGTATATCAAACACGATCAATGCAAAAACAACGTACGGTCGAGGTCTCCACCATTACCACTGGTTGATTCTCCCTAGCGAACAGACATAAGCAAGGCTCATTAGTAGCAGAAAGCAACCACACACATCCACACAGACTATGATATCACATTAGCTCACATAACAACCAGCATACTCAACAACTAAAAAACAGTAGCCATATATGATCAGGGAACAAGAACAGAAAAGGGGAGGAGATAGAAGAGGGAATTGCAAGGGGAAAGAAGGAGGACGGGGTACAACGGAAAAAAAAAAAATGCGAAGACAACGTAACCACAAATGAAGGGAGGAAGGTATCAGACAAAGATGAGGAAGGGTTGTGCCTGGCACTGGCCGCTTGGCAGCCGGAAGAGACCATACAGGAAAAGCGGTAAGAGACACAGAATGTCTCCCCTCCCCTGTCTCCGCCGCCCCCAGACGTGGATCTCACAAGCAAACACCAAAAGATACCTCACCTGTTAGACAAGGGTGGGACAACGCCGCCGTTGGAAAAATGACTCATCTTGATACCGGTAAGACGCAGGGACGACTCCTAGGAAATAGGTCTCTCAACACTGCCAGAGGCGACCCATGGGGAAATCACTATGAAAGGAAGATCGAAGTTTCTTCTCTCACTCACAGCGTGGGGAGGTGGCCCGACACTCTTGAAATCGGACATAGTTCAACTGACCCAGGACCGTCTCCCACCAGAGGTTGCCGCCTCCCTGATGATCTCATACGGCGAGCACAAGTTGTCTGCCAAGGATGTTTATCTGAAATACGAACAGACAAAGGCAGAGGGGCTTCGCTGGCTTAACCAGGAGATGTTGATGGAGCTGCAACTTCTTAAGATCAAAGTCAGCGACCTCTGGTCAGAAGCGGACATTATATCTCTCTTAACAAAACTGCTGATAAATCGCACCCTGCTAATGGGCGGCCCACTGGACAGAGAGCCGTGGCAGGCACTAAAAAAAAAAAAAAAAAAAAAAAAACGAAGATAGCCAACTGCAGGGATAAAAGGAAATGAGATAGATGCAGAGAATGAATGTGATATACGCACTATATAATAAAGACAAACAATGGAAACTCAGCAAAATAACATATCTGGACCTGCGCTCACTAAGCGTTAATGGACTGGTATCAACAAAACATACTAAACGGAGAGCGTTCCTGGAGTTTTTGAGAGGGGTGGAGGGAAGAGACTGGCCTGATGTCATATGCTTACAAGAAACTCACCTGGCAGACACCCGTGAGCATAATCACGTTCACAAAGAGATTTGGCCACACCAAGCTTTCCGTGCCCATGCCCCGAAGTCGGGCAGCGGAGGTGCTGCCATTTGACTCCCCCCGGGATCCAGAGTGGAACCACTCAACGGCAGAATTTTTTCGAAAAACTTGAAACAAAATTGTCAGTGGGCATCCCGATAATAATGGCAGGGGATT